ATAATATGATCTTCCATAATACGAATATTTGATATAGCATAGTTTAAGCAAGATGGATGGGGAACCCTTGGCCCTTCAGATGATGTTGGACCATTGCCTGTTTAAAATTTTGTAGCGAAATAATGTCAAGAGAAGAAAATGCATATATTCAAAGACCAAAGTGAGAGAGAAAAGGAAGCAAGATGGGTTTAGAGCCATGGTTCCCAACATGGGGCACACGCCCCACAGGGGGTAAATTTGATTTTTAAGGGGGGCAATTTGAGAATGAATTATTAACACATGAATAGTTCGCTTTTTGAATAATAAGAATTATATGTCACCGGGGAGGGAGGGCATCAGGATTTTAAGATGCTTAGGTGGGGCATAGGGACACTGGTGGCGCTGTGGTCTAAACCACAGAGCCTAGGGCTTGCCGATCAGAAGGTCAGCGGTTCGAATCCCCGCGACGGGGTGAGCGCCCGTTGTTCTGTCCCAGCTCCTGCCCACCTAGCAATTCGAAAGCACATCAAGTGCAAGCAGATAAATAGGTACCACTCTGGCGGGAAGGTAAACGGTGTTTCCGTACGCTGCTGTGTTTCACCAGAAGCGGCTTAGTCATGCTGGTCACATGACACGGAAGCTGTCTGAGGACAAATGCCGGCTCCCTCGGCCTATAGAACGAGATGAGCGCACAACCCCAGAGTCATCCATGACTGGACCTGATGGGGGGGGGGACCTTTACCTTTACCTTTAGGTGGGGCATGGCCAAAAAAAGGTTGGGAACCATTGGTTTAGAGGAAGTTGGATGGTTTCTAAATAGAAGTGAAGAAGAAGAAGAAGAAGGTTAGAATGGATGCATTGATCTTTAAGTGACAAGAACTGGCATGACAACCAGCCCTGAGCATGACATGCATACATAAAATGTATAATCACGTGGGAGGAGCTAGGTGTGCTCAGCCAAATTTCAGTCAAGTCCAAATCTAAAGATGCTCCGTTGTCAGACACCATGCAAGATTCCTTTACAGGCACTGCATGATCACGGTTGCCAATCACAGGGAGTACCTGTTTGCATTCAGCCCCCAATGTGTAGACAGTGAGGTGGGCAGGATTGGCAAGGGATATAACGGAGGGGAGCAGCCTGTACGCACAGCCCTATTCTCTCTCATTGCAGTCCTAAGGATGCGGAGAGAATACTGGCCTAACAAGGCTATTGTCTGGATGGATGGCAGCAGGGGCGAGGAACCTCAAACCCAGGGGGCAAATGTGGCCCTCAAGACTTCTCTACCTGGCCCTCAGAACTCTCCACAGCTACACCTCTCACCAGCCCTACTTCATATCCTCCTTGAGTGTTTTGGCCTAGCTGGAGTGTGTCCTTGAATTCTTGGTTGCCTGGGGGGAGGATAGAAAGGGGTGTGTGACTGTGTACAGCCTACTGTACAAAGGGAAAAAATTCTCCTTTTTTGAGTCACCTTTGCTTCTAGTGCTGCCCACCTGCAGACAACCCCTGGGAGGCTGACCAGAAGAGAATGCCCTCAGTCTGAAAAAGGGTCCTCGCCTCTGGACTGCAAGTTTCTTCCCAGGACAAGAAGCAACAGAGATCGTGACTCATTATAACTGTCGCATATCAGTTGCCTTTTTTTCTGATACCAGAGTCCCTTAGCCACATGGTGGCATTTGCATCAATGTCTGTCGCTTGATATATCGAAAAATAAAGGCGTCCATGTCAGTGTGTAATGCTCCTCGTAACTGCCTTGCCATTTACACATATCACCCGCGGAGACAAAAACTTGCGCAGGAGTTTCATTGCCTTGGCATTCTCTGGCCTCATTAAACCTCTCCTTACCTTCTCCAATGTTCTGCAGATGCAGCCGTCGTGTTAACTCAGTCTCTGATCCTATTAAGCTGTCGTTCTGAAGGTGGCGACAGACGTTACCCCCATAGCAGCCTTTGCTAACCTGTCCCGTCCCCCCGTCCCCCGATGTACAGGCTGGGACTGATAAGACTGAAATCCAAAATGTCTAGACAGCACTATGTCGGCAAAGGTTGCTCTTGGACTACAACTCCCATCACCCCCAGCCAGCTAAGCCAATGGCTAAGGATAATGGGAGTTGTAGTCTAACAGCATTTGGGAACCTCAGGTTGAAAAACAATGGACACTAATTGGCAGCACCTATCCAGGATTTCAAGGGACGTGGGTGGCGCTGTGGGTTAAACCACAGAGCCTAGGCCTTGCCGATCAGAAGGTCGGCGGTTCAAATCCCTGCGACGGGGTGAGCTCCCGTTGCTTGGTCCCAGGTCCTGCCCACCTAGCAGTTCGAAAGCACGTCAAAGTGCAAGTAGATAAATAAGTACCGCTCCGGCGGGAATGTAAACGGTGTTTCTGTGTGCTGCTCTGGTTCGCCAGAAGCGGCTTAGTCATGCTGGCCACATGACCCGGAAGCTCACTCGGCCAATAAAGCGAGATGAGTGCCGCAACCCCAGAGTCGGCCACAACTGGACCTAATGGTCAGGGGCCTCTTTACCTTTACCTTTATCCAGGATTTCAGCCAGAGAGTCTGTTTTGCAATAAGACCATCGCTTCCTAGGAAACAGGCCATGTTCGACAACTCACTTTGTAGAGCCATCCGCAGTGGAAAACTCCAGCTTCCTTATGAACTGCAGGAAGATATATTGATATCTCAGTCATAACTTACTTGAAAACTTAGGAGTAGGGAAAAAGGGGGTATTTCAATTTCCTCAAAGAGCGTGTGAGCAAGAGTGATTGAAAATATAGCCAAGGAGGTCTGACATTATGTGTCAGTGCAAAATAAATTTAGTAATAACCTGTCAAATGATCTTCCCACTGCACAGCAAGCGTTCTGACTCCATCATGATCACTAATGTACACAACACCTGGGTTTTTTGATTGGCAGTGGGTTTAAGCAATCTTACGGGGTGGGGTGGGGTGGGGGGAGACATAGGCAAGGAAAGGAAATTTGTAAAGATCCATTGAAATTAAGGAATTGCCAAAGCAAACCCACATTCTGGATTTCTAAAAGAAAAGCAAAGAGGCTGAATGGTTTCTTTCCCTATCTCAGCAATTTGATTATGTCACATCTGGAGCTCAACAAGAACTGTCTTAATTCATGCCAGGAAACAAACAATTTGTGGACCACAATTATCAGCACGGATGTCAGGGAATGGCAGGACGCTGACGAGTGTGGACTTGGGGAAGGGGGGCTGGAGTCTGACTTGGGAGAGGGGGCCACTGAGTTGTGGGGGAACTGCACCAGCCAGGAGGCCAGAGTCAGAGGCATGGGAAGCTTCAGAGATGGAGGGAAGGTGGAACATTGGCTGAAGAGGCAGGTTGAGTGAGTGAAGGGCTGGGTGCTTCCTTATCCTCTCCTGCACCACTGTCTCCTAGCACCAGAAGGGGGTTGAAGAGGGATGAGCAGAGGACGTTTCCACACAGGCAAAGTCTCCGGCTTCATGTGTGCAGACTGTCGGGGGGTGGGGAGGTACATAAATTGGTGGAGTGGGAGTAGCTCCCTGTCACTGCAACCTGCTCCATAGAGCACAGACCTGGCAACAGCTACCTAGACTGGTGTGGGGAGGTATTCAGAGCCATAGAAATGACTGTGTCATCTTTGACAATAAAGCGTTAACTATCTGCCGTGTGCCAGGGAGTGCCCTTGACAATGGATTACTTCCACTTAAGCCAGCTTGTTCTCATTAGAACCAAGATCTTGTTTCTGGGGGCTTCTCCACTTACGGCAGCAGCTCACAGGATCTGATGCAGGAGCAGATGCATTTAGTGCAGGCATAGGCAAACTCCAGCCCTCCAGATGTTTGGGACTACAATTCCCATCATTCCTAGTTAACAGGACCAGTGGTCAGGGATGATGGGAGTTGTAGTCTCAAAACATCTGGAGGGCCGGAGTTGGCCTATGCCTGATTTAGTGGTTTCACTTGTGTTTCGGACTGCAATTTCCATCAGCCCCAGCCAACATGGTTATGCATACAGCTGATGGGAGTTGTAGTCCAAAACATCCGAAGGGCACCACATTGGTGAAGGATGGTGCAGTGCATTATTTCTCAAATTTGGGTCTCCAGCTGTTGTTGGACTACAACTCCCATCATCCCGAGCTAGCAGGACTAGTGGTCAGGGATGATGAGAGTTGTAGTCCAACAATGGCTGTTGACCCAAGTTTGAGAAACAGTGCTGTAATGGAAGGACCCTTGGACGTGATGGAGTGGCAATCGGAAGATGTTGGCCTGGAGCAAAAATAAAGGCCCTTTCCTGCCCATTGCATTTTGATTCCCACCATATTGGCAGATACTCCCATCAGGCCCCAACCAGTATTGCCAGAAGCTGAAGTTCAGCACCACCTGGAGGGCTTCTGGTTCCCCCTTCATGGTCCAGAAGATGCTTAAAGCAACGGCTACTTATTTTGCAAAGATCAAATGTGGATTCTTCTATAAAAGCCTCATTTGGTCCTTTCATTGCTCTGGTCTTGATATTTGCCACTTGATCTTTTCAAACAATAAACAGCAGTGACAAAACAAATGTACGTCCAAGCTGCATCAGATATGGGAGAGAGGAGGGGGCGAGACATGCCCGCAAGTGAGTGCTCTTTTCATTATTCTGCTCTGATACCTTCCCTTGGAAGCTGGGGCGCTCAGATCTCACAGCTTCTATTTAAAATGATAAATCAGAAGCATTAAGCACAACGGATCTCACGCGCAACGGACAGCATGAAACGGAGCCTGCCCAGCTGCCCAAGCAACCTTTCGGAAATGTCAGCGCTAGCAGAGTTGGAAGGGGGGGGGCATGCGATGGCAATGGACTGAACTCCAGAGCCGTGGAGTTTTGGATGCTCCATCGTTTGACACCCTTCAGTGCTGAGCTCTTGTCTAATCATGACAGAGGGCTGCTTGGCATGCTCCTTGCCACGAATGCCTGCCATCTCGGAGAAACGGATTCCTCTCTCTTTCTCTGCAAATTAGGAGCGGGGGAATCTCAGACCCAGGGGACAACTGCAGCCCTGGGATAGCTCAGCTGCTACAGCATGAGACTCTTCATCTCATGGTTGTGGGTTCGAACCCCACGTTGGGCAAAAGATTCCTGCGTTGCAGCAGGTTGGACCAGACGACCCTTTTGGTCCCTTCTGACTCTACAAGTCTGTGTTTTTCTAGGCTTCCCTGTCTAGGCTTCCCTCTCACTGGCCCTGATTCTAACCTGGAGCATGTTTGCTTAGCTGGGATGGGTCCCTGAACTTGGATATAGTGCCTCTTGCTTGTCTGGATGAAGGACTCAGAGGGGTGTAGAAACTAGCTTGCTGTAGAAATGTAAAATGCACATTGATTTGTCCAGCCGCGTTTGCCTTTGCCCCTGCCTACTTCTGGCATGTAGGGACACGGGTGGCACTGTGGGTTAAGCCACAGAGCCTAGGGCTTGCCAATCAGAAGGTCAGCGGTTTCAAACCCCGCGACATGGTGAGCTCCTGTTGCTCGGTCCCTGCTCCTGCCAACCTAGCAGTTCGAAAGCACGCCAGTGCAAGTAGATAAATAGGTACCGCTCCGGCGGAAAGGTAAACGGCATTCCCGTACGCTGCTCTGGTTCTCCAGAAGCAGCTTAGTCATGCTGGCTGTACGCCGGCTCCCTCGGCCAATAAAGCGAGATGAGCGCCGCAACCCCAGAGTCGGCCACGACTGGACCTAATGGTAAGGGGTCCCTTTACCTTTACCTTTCTTCTGGGATGTGGCTCTCAGAAAGCTGCCGGAATGGAATGTGGCCCTCAGCTGAAAAAGGCTCCCAACCGCTGCTCTAAAGCATACCTTCCTATAGGACCGCTCACTGTAGGGGAAATGCAGAAGACAATTGTATTTTGAGGAGTTAGATGGCATGTCCCTTTCCCTTTGACATCCCCAGTTTGAGGTCTGCTGGATTCTTGTGTTTCACACACCTGTCGCGAGTTTCTTGGGTTCTTCTGTGTTGCAAGTGCTGGCTGGATGCCCGGCTGCAGGTAGTGGGAGACTCTCAGCCACTCTGTATTAATCCCATCTCAGGGTCCTGGGCTAATCATGAGTAATGTCAGGTCCACTTGATTACATCAAGGCAGGCTATAAAAGCCATAGGTGGGAGGGGCCCAGGGAGCTTCTACCCAGATCAAAGGACCTGATGCTGGGAGACCGATGGTCAGGGTCTTTCTCCTGCTGCTCTACCTGGGGCTCCGGGCAGCTGAAGAGGAGATTGGGTAGCCCCTGTTGGGTATGTTTTATTTTATGCTTTGCATGCCTGCTGTTTATTTGTTAATAAAACTGTTTTGATTCCCCTTCCACCTCCTCATTCCTTTTGTCCTGATATCCTTGGAAAGAACTGATGTATTTGGCAGCACACTCACCTATCTTGGTGGGTGGTGTTGCGGCCAGGCATCCAAGCCCTTGCGATGATCTGGCTCGGGGATGTGGGATAGATGCCCTCTTCTGCTCTTGAGCCAAGGGTGGTATCTATTGTTGGCATGCAGAGGGTTGCAAGGCCAGCTGGCTAGCCCCAGCCGTCCCACTGCGAAGACCCATCGGCCTCTGCTCCGACATAAATCAGCAACCCAGGCTTCAAACCCAGGCACACTATGTCAGCAGAGCGAACTGCGTACACAGAATAGGCTTGAGGCTTGTGGAAGCATACTACAACTATGGATTTATTAATCATAAATCAGGACAAAGAAACATGTCATCTCTCTCTCCGTCTTCTCAGAGAGACAGGGAAAAGCAAAAGCTATACACACAACGGAAATTCCCAGCAAGCTGTGCTGGTATGTAAACAGACATGTGACATGCAACAGTTCTATGTCTGCAACTAAAGGTGGAATGGAATTTTCCAACAGTATCTGTGACACTTTGGGAGAAGATGACTAGGCGAGACAGACAGCAAGCCTTGTCTTGTAACAAGAAAGCCTCACTCCAACCTCAGGAGAATGGGAGTAGCTGCGGAGCCTCAGGCGGAATGGCTGGGCAAGAGAGATGATGAATGGTTCAAAGCCAGTCACAATCACCTCCCAGCATCAGCTGCCGGAAGTGGCCACCTCATTCTCTACCTAATGGTAGGGCTGGCCCTACAAATGAACCAGGGATGTTTTGCTCGCAAAGCTCCTGTTCTAGTCTTGTTCTGTGGCAAGAGGCTTCATCCTTTTAAAAGGTGTTTTTTGGTAGCACACCAACTGCTGGCAAAAACACAGAAGTATTTTGCAGTAAATGGTTCGTACAACCACAGGCCAAAGCTTCAGTCTCGAACCAATTGATGCAGAATAAACGGCCAGGGCAAAAAAGGGGCTTTTAGCAATGGGTTCAGCCTTGAAACAATCAGGGATGTACACACTTGCAGGTCTAAAAATAAGCTTGGCCCAATCCCAGTTTGCATGGTTCTTAATGGATTGAAACCGAGATACTTTAGGGACTATGCTACCTCTACAGACCGTTCAAAAATAATCCTGCACTTTCGGATAATCTAGCTGTGGTATAGATTTTTTAGCTGTTGGGAATGCCGTGTTTCTCACTGCAGAACCTCCACCACAGAGGTCTTTGCTGAAAAAGATTCCAGGGCAGATGCTTTCCTTCCATGGAGCAATATCCACGGAACAACAGTATATCTGCATTCAAAATCTTCAAGGGTATCATGGCCAAACAACACATGGTTTTGGGGTGCGGTGGGGGAGGAGGGATGTGAATTGCATTCAACCCTTTGCCTCTGCATAGTGATGTCACAATGCAAATCACCTTCATTCCTTTTTATTATTTTTTTAAATTAAAATTTCAACAAAAAATAACAAATAATAAACAAACAACCACCACAACAACCACAAACAAAGAAAAGTATACACAACAACAATATCAAATCGATAAAATGGGATTCTCTGAATCCCATGACACCCCCCCCGTTCCTTAAATTCCCTTTTCAATTGCATGTCATTTCTATTCCAAATTATTTTTTTCTACCTCAAATATCCTATATGAATTCTAAAATTACAAGTGTTCTTAAAATCCTGCCACTGTATTAACCTGTTTACAATACTTTTGCAAACACATAATAAACATTTCCCATTCTTTTTTAAACTTCTTATCATCTTGATTTCTCAGCTTTCCAATTAGTTTCTCACATTTCAGCATAGTCCATTAACTTGGTTTGCCAATCTTCTTTGGTCAGGACAGCTTCTTCTTTCCATCTCATTCCTAATCGCTTAGAAATGTTTCCTAAGACACTGTGTTTTCAGCTGTACAGGCCAGTTGCCTCTGTATTTTCCCCCTTTCTCTCTGTGTGGCATCATCTTCTTCTTCTTCTTCTTAATTTTAATTAATTAATCCCTCATTGCATTGTGGACAATAAAGGATGAGTGGGGATTTGAACCCTGGTCTCCCAGGTCATAGTCCAACACTCTAACCACTACACCACACTGCCTCTTCACGCTGCGGCTTCAGTATTAATCACCCTTCCTCTGGGGCTACTTTTTGGGAGAAAAATATATCTCTAGATCTCTGCAGTTTGCCCTTTAGTTTTCTGCCTGCTTGTGCTAACAAGTTCTGCAAAATGGATGTGGATTTTATGTTCTTGATACACATTATTTGTCACACAGAATCACAGAAGGCACACCAAGGGCCATCTAGTCCAACCCCTTGCAATGCACGAATCACAGCTGACAAGTTGCCACCCAGCTTTTCACAAGCGCTCCGTTTAGAATCCCAACCTACGGAGTCATCTTTTTTGTGTGTGCCTGCTGCTGGAAATAAAAATGGGTCTTTTGCTCCTCATTTACTCCATGGAGGAAAAAACGGCCGTGTTGAAACAAGCTGTTAAGAACGAACAACACTGAAAAGAATAGATGGTGCACACGGATGAAATATAAAGTAATATTGTAGCAAAAGAGCTATTGTGTGGAATAAAGTAAAGAGGGGCCATTATTTGCCTCTTTGATTGCTTTCTAATGGGCTCTGATGGTCAGTTGATGTTCCTCAAAATAGCTAAGGATTCTTCTTCAGTGGTTTTTCCTAGTTTGAAGATGAGCTTTTAATGAACCTTGGTCGTTTCTGGTTATGACAAACCCCTATGTTCCTGGAAAGGATGTAGAGAGAAATAGTTGTGAGGAAGAAAGTAGCCAGTGACTGAGACCAGAAATCTGATTTTGATCAGGCTGGGTGCATGACGGGGCACAGTCCTAAAGCGCTCATCCTTTTACTGAATAAGTTATTCATTAATTGCATTTCGACACAAAACTGGTATCCACCTGTGTATATCGAACAAGACACAGCTTTCAATGAGATGAAAAGACTCATACTCACACATCGCCTAATCTTTAGCTTTTTTTTTTTTTGTAATTGATTTCATCTTTTATTGTTAATGATGGTTTCATGTGTATTTGTTTTTAATTGGCTGGTGGATTTTAGTCATGTTTTATGCACTGTATATAACTTGACTTGCACACTACTTGGGTTATTTTGTGAACAAGCAGTTTATACATTTTTTTAAAAAATTTGAAACAAACCTACAAACTGTTTGGCCTAGATCAAAGGAGGCTGAGAGAAGATATTATAGCCATCTTCAAATCTCGAAAGGGCTGTCACATGGAGGAGGGAGCAAGCTTGTTTTCTCCTGCTCCGGAGGGCAGGACCCGAACCAATGGATTCAAGTTACAAGAAAGGAGATTCTGACTAAACTTCAGGAAGAATTTTCTGGTAGGAGCTGTTCCACCGTGGAACTGAGTCCCTCAGAAGGTGGTAAAGGGACCTTTGACCATTAGGTCCAGTCGTGGCTGACTCTGGGGTTGCGGCACTCATCTCGCTTTATTGGCCGAGGGAGCCAGCGCACAGCTTCCAGGTCATGTGGCCAGCATGACTAAGCCACTTCTGGCGAACCAGAGCAGTGCACGGAAATGCTGTTTACCTTCCCACCAGAGCAGTACCTATTTATCTACTTGCACTTTGACGTGCTTTTGAACTGCTAGGTTGGCAGGAGCATGGACCAAGCAACGGGAGCTCACCCCTTCACAGGGATTTGAACCGCTGACCTTCTGATTGGGAAATCCTAGGCTCTGTGGTTTAACCAACAGTGCCACCCGCGTCCCTC